TCTAGAATTGAATGGATTCTCAATCACGATTTCAGTATGATTTCAGACGACTTGACGTAATTATAGAGATGATTTGAAAAATAATTTCGAAGAGGTGAAATCACTTTGTTTCCGCGATTTCGGCGAATGCAATGATTTCACGTGATTGTGGCATAAATTTCGGATTGATTCCATGAGAAAGTAGTGTCATGATTTCGGGAATGAGTCAACCCTCGTGAGGTCCATCTTTGGTAAATCATTAACCCAAAGTTGGGAATGATATTTGACAAAAAAAATCATAACATTACGAAAATCAAATATTGATTACTCCATATAACTGGAACTTGGTCCAAAACTCGCATTTTCACAGTACTCATCAGAAAAGAGTACAACTAGGGGAGGGTAGGGCAAAACGGACCGCTGACAGAAAATTGGTAATTTTTGTTTTTGTTTTCCTTCAAATCAGGAACACTGAATGTGTTGAATTAAAAGTGAGTTTCTTGGATCGTAACCGTCACAGGGGTTTTATCGACAACAGGTGTCGTTGAACCGCAGTTTGATCAGATTTGCTAATCACCTCAAACCACAAATGACTTCGAATTTGTTCCATTCTGAAGCAAAAACAAAAATTATCAATTTTCTGTTAGTGGTCCGTTTTGCCCTAGGGGTCCGTTTTTCCCTGCGATCCGTTTTGCCCTACCCTCCCCTATCACCTTTGACTCGAGCTGGAAACTTCACACTCACCAGAATATTATAATTTCGATACGAGTGCGTAAAAGTACTTTTTGATTCTGAGGTATGCAGCGCTCGCCGAAGGTGAGTGCCATCCTCCCCGAGTCAAAGAACCTTTTATGCCTCTAGGGACGGAAAACCGCGATTTCAACCTCGCTTCGCTCGGTTAAATTGCGGTTTTCAGTCCTCGAGGCATAAAATATCGTGCCACACGGCAGTAAAAGTATTTTCTGACGAATGTGATTATAACGTCACATTCGTCAGAAAATACTTTTACTCCCTAGGGGCACAATATACTATTTCCCACGAGCGCCGAACCCTATTTTACTTTACGATGTATGGAAAGTGGAATTTTGATTTTACGCGGAGCTTGCGTGAAATTTCACTTTACGCACAAGTGATGAAATAGTATATTTCAGCACGTGTGGGGCAATTTCGTCTTTAACGTGTGTGGGGTTTACAGCATGAGCCGAAGGCGAGTGATGTAACCACACACGTTAAGGACGAAATTTCCCAACAAGTACTGAACAAAATTTTATGTCACGAAGCCTGAAACCGGCTGAATTAGACACGAGACGCGAAGCGTCGAGTGTGTAATCCAGCCGGTTTCAGACATGAGTGGCGTAAACGTCATTTACCAACTCGTTAAGTAAAATACTGTTATAGTGTCAGCTCCGACGAGTGCTACGAACCTCCAGAGAGCCAAAAATCACATCTGCTCTTCGCATGAAAATATACTATTCCAAATATCTCCGCAAGGATGAGATCCAAAATGACCCATCAGATAACTTTTTCTGTAAAAAATTTAACTAACTGCAAACAAGATCTTTTGATGTTTTTTTTTAAACCAACCCATTTCAGAGATATGGTTGAAATAATTGACGTGGAAATTTTGACTCATCTCCTGTCCCCCACCACTCCACTAGAGAATTAATCACAACTCGCGAAGGGATTAAACTAAATTAAGAATAGATTGCTTCCTTCGAAGACAAAAAACGAAAGTGATTTTCGTCTACCGATCAAAAAAAATCCTTCAAGTGAGTGGAAAGAAAGCGAACTCCGCTAATTTTAGATTCTCAGGGTCTGGATATTGAGGCAGCTGGTGATTTGCGTCTGCACGTGGTCCCATGTCATGACGTGTGTCCAGCCGTCTGGACACCCCCATTCAATACCCATGGAACACTGAGGGGGTCACCTCCGTGAAAAATCCACGAAAAATCGCAGCTACATGATCTACATACCAAAACCCATAAATCCGTTACACGGAGAAAATTATTTGGTGAATTGTAACAACTAGTTGTTCAAGTTCAACTACTACTTGTTGAAATTCATCAACTAGTCTGTTGAAAAAAATGAATTAGCAATCAGTTGGTGAATTCCGACAACTAGTTGTTGAATTTCACCAACTAGTTTATTGAAATGCAACAACTAGTTGTTGTTTGTTCACTGACTGGTGAAAAAAATGAATTACCGACCAGTTGGCAAATTCCGACAACTAGTTGTTGAATTTCAGCGACTAGTTTATTGAAATTCACCAACTATTTGTTGAAATTCACCAACTAGTTGCTGAAATTCACCAACTATTTGTTGAAACTCAACAACTAGTTGTTGAAATTCACCAACTGGTGAAAAAAATTAATCGAAAAAAATGAATTACCAATCAGTTGGTGAATTCCGACAACTAGTTGTTGAATTTCAACAACTAATTGGTGAATTTCAACAACTAGTTATTAAAATTCATCAAATAATTTTCTCCGCGTACGATAACCGGGAGAAAGTTCTGGTCCGGATGTTTTACGGTTTTCGAGTAGAGACAATCTCCCCGTATACACCCTTTCAGACGATGCTTCTGGTTCCGGAGGAGGAGCCACCTCCTCCGGATGCGATGTTTGAGACAGCACACACTGGAGTCGAAGAGAGATCGAGAGTGTGGGTGCACTCTAGTATAAATAGACAACGGTGGTTGTAGTTAGCCTTGATGAATCTGTTGTTCTTGAGTCGAGTAAAACTTCCTCGTTTCATTCAGGCCGCGATTAATCTTGTAAACAGCCACTGTGCATTTATTGACGTTAAAATCACTCCTCAAACTGACGAGTGAAATCCAAAACCCAACAAAGCCCATGCAATTACAAATATTTATGCTCTACATATTCAGGCATTCCCTCGGCGTGGAAACTGGCCAAGTCAACATGTGTCAATGACCCAGGGAGAAAAAAAAACCTGAAGCGCTCTATTTTTTCCGTCGGGACACTTGTCCCACACTCGAATTTCCGGAGGCCTCCCGCGCAACCTGTCACAAGGGTCTCCAGAAGAAAATCATCGAAATGCAAAAAGTGGAAACACGTGGTTGAGATTTAGGGCGGTTTGACCTCCCAGGCGGGGATAACAAAAAAAAGGCTGGGACCAACAGTCAAGTTTTCTAAAGGCCCAATGGGGGAAAAAATAAACATATTATTCAAACGAGGGGGAGGGCATTGTGATTATGAAAAAGACCAACGGGCTGTTCACACCTCCTCGACGAGGGACCACACCGCTTCGTAAATAGCCTCGAGGCTCCTCTGTGGGAGAGGTCTTGAGATCAACGTTTACACTGTTGTGGGCGCAGTATTATCCATCGTCTCTATTCATAAACATTCAGCCCCTGGTGTAGTAGTACCTGAATAAGCAAAGCTGCCATCCAAAAACAGTTACATTTTTTCACTCATTGAGTGAATTCTTCATTAAATTTTTCCACCAACATTTGTTGAGTATTTTAGCACCAAGAGCTCCCTTGCAACTTTATTCAACATTTCGCCCTGCCTTGCGTCTCTTATTACATTTCTTTTTACCTCAAAACAACTCATGGACGTCACCTGCTCCAGTATATTGTTAAACCCATTGAGGAAATCTGACACTTAATTTTACGATTTAGTCTGTGGGCGAAAATGGAAGAAAAAATCACAAGAACGATGGGGGAGAAAAAATAAAAACGACTGGGCAAAAAAGTTACGTTGACGAGGGCACGTGCCCCCAGAGCGTTTATCCGGCGGAACGCACGTACATGTATATACATAACGCAGAGGAAGTGAAGACGAAAGCGAATGGAAGGAGAGCGACACCGTCATGGTTTGAAGGACAGATGGCTGGAGTTCCCTTTTTGTTTTAAAAGCCTTCTCTCCATTTTTTCACTCCCCCTCTCATTCAAATTCTCCAGTTAAAAATTAAACAACCCATAAAAATCATCAATTCCACATCAACATTTATTATGTTCATTGAATAATAATTGACGTTGATTACACTTACACTAAAAGTCATTTGATTCATCATAAATTCTTTAATCAAAAATCTACCTAATCAGTCCTGTGATTATAGTCAGAACCAGAGTCTCAACAACGATACGATTCTTGCCATGATATACTCTTGGTGGTTAAAAATGAAAGACTTGTAAATGCTCTATTCCTACAGTGGGACCTTTCAAATATTACGTCACTGATTTTTTTGACATTTAGACCCCCATAAGCCCCCCCCCCTTGTATAGTACGTCATAAAATCCCCGATCCCCTCCCCCTGACAGATCAAGAATAAGGAAAAGAAGGCCAAGCATTAATTGAACAATTAAATCTCTACCCGATGCTCTTTGAACACTTCGTAACTTATTAAATTGTTGTCATCACAGCATTCTGAAATACCTCATGAATCTTTGGGATGATTTGAAGAACTGTTGAAACCTGTTTTTGTTGTGAAAAAAAGGGATGCAAACAAATCTGCATTTGCGATTTCCTCGATGAAAAGTATAAAAAAATACGGTCTGAAATCACACGCATGAAAAAATTCAATAGAAAACCTAGCGAGTTCGCTAGAGAATTCTATCGGAATTCTATAGGAATTCTATGGCTTTTCTATAGGATTTCTATTGGAATTCTATTGAAAAATTCTATGTGTTTTTTGCATTGATTCTATTGAATATTCGATAAGAAAAAGTCAATAGATTTCGAATGTCTGTTTGGAATTTTCTCTTCAGATTTTTTCTATAAGAATGCTTGGGCATCAATTTTCTTCGTTTTTGGACTCCGATTTTGTAATGCAAAATAAAACAAAATCCAATGGAAAAACCTTTGAAAATTCGTGCCGAATAATTCTAATAGAAAAAATCTCAAGAGAAAAATTTCAACAGAAATTCGAAATCTATTGACTTTTTCTTATCGAATATCTAATAGAATCAACACAAAAAACAAATAGAATCAATAAAATCCCAATAGAAATCCTATAGGAATCTCATAGAATTCCTATAGAATTCCAATAGAATTTTCTAGCGAATTCGCTAGGTTTTCTATTACATTTTTTCATGCGTGCACAATCTAAGCAATCGATCCCCTTGCCCCTAATCTCGTGACGTGATATTTGAATGGTCCTCAGTACCTATAAACAATGATAAAAAAACATGATCGATCATCACAAATAATCTAACAATCAGCTTTTGAGCTTGTGGCTTGCGCTCGTACAGCTTTAACTGCAGCCTCGAGTCCAGTGACTGCTGACAATACTTGAAAGAGGCTCTCCATGAGCCTGTCAAAAATCTCCATCGTCTCGGTGTCCCCTTTAGTCACTACAAACAGATCAGAGCGATCTTGTCCAAGATACTTGCAGTACATATTGACAGCTGTTGTGACGTCGTCATCGTCGTGAAAGGGATCCCCTGGCCACTGGGCTCGATGAAGTCTGACTGCTTCAAGTGCTGCAGACCAACGAGCAGATCTCAACAACTCGGCCACTCTAATCACCTCCTCAATGGATCCAGCAACAGGTAATGGACTTGGGGACGGCGTTGGAGTGGGTGTGCCTCGTTCACTCTCAGTACTCTCCTCCAGTGCTCTACACAACGCAGTCTTCATCATTACAATTTCAGGGGACATGTCATACAGCTGAACAGATATATTCTTCGAGGCTTTTGTCAGAGCAAAAAGCATCTTATTGGCAGCCTCGATGAGCAGCAACAGTTGAAAATGAAGTTTGTAGAATGATCGACCCAGTCCCAGGAGCATATCCTCAGGCACAGAGTCCGGCTGGACCTCCCCTAGAACCTGGAGTTTGTTCGTAGCTTTCACAGCCTCCAGACACTCAGTCGCATGATCCTTCTTGTCCAAAAACGTCTCCAAGTGCTCCTGAATCTCGAGCATTCCAAATCGCAGGGTTTCGTGCAGTCTTTGATGGGAGAATACAGTAGTGGAGAACCAGACTAATGGTGGCTCTGCTTTGGAACTCAGTAATTCTGCATGGGTGGACAAATGAGAGGCTAATTGCGAGGCAGCTGTGCTACCATTCGTCAACAGCGCACTAGCCTCTCGAGACAATCCCACAGACTTGCTGCACACGTCCCTCAAGATTTTGCTGAGAAGGTGGAAAAAGTCGAGGATGTTGTAGGGAACCTGTGAAATCAGGTGTTGAATCTGCTGACGCCATATTTCCTCGGCATCGTCACGAACGACTTGACGACCGAATGGCATCAGCGCTGATAAATTCGGGGAGGCATTGCAGGGGGTTAGGTCGCCAAGGTCTCCCGCACTCGAGCCAGATGTGTCTGATCTTGTTGAAGAGTCGTGACGAGAACGACTGGGGATGAGGGATAACGAGGAGGGTGGGAAAATTCCGGGGACCGTGGGCTCCCGGCCTGCCCCAGAGCCAGAGGGAACCTCGTCCAGGGGAGACTCTGAGCCCACCTCGTCATCTGAGGATTCTTCGGCTACGCCACCACGACGAGATGTGTGTTTGCTGGATGAGGCGGTCTTCTCAGAGAGACTCTCCTCGAATTGACGGACGCTGGGCTCTCGCTCCTCACCCTCGCTGAGGGGACGTCTGCGCACACCCCAGTTGAAGTTGTCGGTGCTCTCGCCCTCTACACTCTCGCTCTCGTACTCGAGGAAGTCGAAGTCCTTGAAGACTCCGAACTGCTCCTCATCGCGACGGGACCCACCGCTCAGGTCGTTATTTGCTCCTGATACTTCTTCGGTTGATGAGGCCATTGAGGATTGCCTCTCCATGAGGTCCGAACTCTGGCTGAATATCACCTATGTAATTTTATGAACGCACCATTTAGTTTTTTAGTGTTGATTTGGGGGCTCAGTATCAGTGAGGAAAAATCTTATTGAGATCATTTTATTTGAAATAAACGTTATTTACTTGATAATTTTGAACTCAATACGATTTTGCAATGGATGTCAATTGTGTCGTTTCGAGATACATTTATATGGAAAAAATAGAACTTCTTTAGAACTTAAGGCCCACGTGTATTATCTTTCGATCGTGATCTTGGTTGTTTTTTTTTCTTTTGATAATATGAAATGTTCTGCAAATGTCATTCAGTTTTACGTAGCCCTGGAGACTTCAAAAATTACGATTGTATAATCAAGAAACGCTGAAAAAGAACTGAACATACTCAAAGAGCGTTTTTAAAAAATATTGGAAAACAAACTCAATAGGGGGGAAATTGTAAATTAATAATTTACAGTATCTAATGGCTGTTCAGTCGTCATTTGTCTCAGTAGCCAATGCCTGTCAGATCGTAAGTTCTCACGATATATTATCCATTTACAATTTCCTTTCCGTCGGACTTATTTCTAATCTTTATTAAAAATGCTCTTCGAAAAAGTTCAGTTTTTTTCCAAAAATAATCCATCCGGGCCTTAAGTCGATTTTATTTGTCCCAATGATAATATTATTTTTTACGTAGTATTAACCCCTCACGTACGGGGTCCCTAGAACGCATCTTGTCCCAACGGCCGGGAGGCTTACGTCGACGCGCCAATTCCATTGTTTAATCAGCAATAACTCGAAAACAGGTGATCGAGAAAACTTGAAATAAAATGCATTGGATGAATTGAAATTTGAAATAAACGCCCTGAGAATTCTGTTTTTTCCGCATTCAAGTCACACCGATTTATCCTCCAGGACAATTTTTCGCCGAGATCTCCAAATTCGCTGAATTTATTTATAACAAATGCATTATTCAATTAATTGAAATTTAACTTGTGCCATTCGATAGGAAGGTCATCAAAGTATTTTCAGCAAAAATTCCAAAATTTTTCTGTAAAATTTCCTCGACAAACGAGATGATTGAATATGATTAAATCGGAGCAAGATAGTATTTTCATCCACGGCTTTTGTTGATATAAAAAAAAATAGAAAAAATGCATTGAGAAGAAAAATCAAGGAACTCACTGCACAGACAATTTTATTGACTTTCCAAATTTTTTTTCCAAATGTCAATATGTGTCTTAGAATTCGAGAAAATAATTTTTTACTGTTGACGGAAAGGGTCCATACGATGTATTCACCCCGGCCGATAGGACAAGTTCGTGCCTCCATACATCGTATGGAGCCCGTACGTGAGGGGTTAAGCTATCTTAAGAAACCTTTCTATCCAAAAAAGAAAAATTATTTCGATGACAAAATACGTCACTTTATCAATGAATATGAGCAAGTTTTGTTTCGTGCTATTTATAATTGAACTGNGCTATCTCAAGAAACCTTTCTATCCAAAAAAGAAAAATTATTTCGATGACAAAATACGTCACTTTATCAATGAATATGAGCAAGTTTTGTTTCGTGCTATTTATAATTGAACTGACCATTTCGTATATCAGAGCGGAACGAATATTGTTATGTGAAAAAATCACAGATCAGGACAATTCTATAAAAATTTGAAAATCACAAAATCTGTTCCATGAACGTAAAAAACCTCAAGAATGGAGGACATTTAATTTATGATTGGAAAAAAAGTGAAAATAACCAGTCTTGCAGTAAACAGATATGACTTTACTCCGAAGTGTTTTTATTTCAATGAAGTAAAGGTATCTCAAAAAGAAATGCTTGATATTCACTCTAAAATCTTATTGAATTGAAATTTTTTCAAATTATTTCAAAAAAAATATATCTTAATAAAATTAAATTTTTGTATCTCTGTAGGGAAGTGGTTGAACAAAGTAGACGAGGTAAGGAATGAATAGGATTTTCCATATCTTCGATATCTTCTCAATAATCAACAGAAAGGAATGAATTTGAACTCATTTGAAACCCTGAATTATTGACGTTTGAGGATAGTCCACCTTGCCCCCTTCTTCCCTCATTTAATTTCAATTGAGGATCCGTTGAGTTGCAAAAAGGTGAAACGGGTTAATCGATGTCAGCTCAACACCAATTTTCGCGCGGTATCGCGGAATTGAAGAGGAATACAAATATTTCCCTGGGTACCATTTTTATAAGTCTCTACAATAGAGGTCCTCGGAACACATTTCAGTTTCCTCACATTTCGAGATAACCGGCAAAAATTAATGGTGAGGGAAAACCCATCTATGACACTTTAGCGTGATAACCGAAGGTTGTGCGTGAATAGAATAACACGATTCACGTGATTTACACGTCACATTTGAATTTCTAACATCAAAGCACATAAATTAAGGTACACAGAATGTCCCACTCTTGAGCAAAATTTCGAGGGATGGCGGGCAGTCAAATCCTAGTAAAGTTTCCCTTCGACTTTTGGCTTCGAGTAATAGTGAAAACGAGTTTTTATTAATGAATTCAAAAAATTGTGGCCGTGGTGAGTCACACTGAGAAAAAAGATGAAAAAATACTGAAAAAGTCGAGTAATCGTGGAGCAAAATTACGTTCCAGGTCTCTTTCACTTTATATTGAAAGAGAAAATGCGAGACGAATGATAAATTTTCTCTGCTTGCACCAAAAAATGTTCTAATCGTCACGTAAATTGTTCTGAAGTGGTAAATTTTTTCTGGAATTTCATCCAAAATTACACGAGCGCACGTAATGAATTACCCAAGGTCTGGGAATTTTTCTATAACGGTGATCAATTTTCGAACACCAGCTTTCGCGCGATACAGCAAATTTTTGATTTCGTCCATTCCCACGTCGTTTGTATCGTTGTTAAAAAAGACTCTACAGGTGTGGAAAATTTACAGGGAACCATCGTTTTTACTTCCACAGATGTCATTTTTTATTAAGCAAATTTTAAGATTCATGTTTATGTCAAAGTATTTTTTCATCACATTTCTCGCCACGATTGCGTTTTGGGCAATAAAATTTACCCAGGTTTGCTGGATAATTGTTCCTCATAGGAGTAGAAACGGGAGAGGAGACAGAGGTTTCCTCTAACCAGGATATCACCCGGAATATATAAAAATCGACTGTCTCCTCTCCACTCCTTCGTCGCTACATAAATCAAATCATTAACCCCTCAAGTACAGTGCCCATATCGCGCGGTGGGCCTCATCGGCCGACAGCCTCCCGTCTACTCGAACTCACTGTTCAATACGCGACAATTTCTACACTGATGATCAAAAAATTATCATCGAAACTTTCATGATAATCTTGAGCTTTCACCAATAAGTTGTTCAGATTTTTCTGGAATTTCTAAGACTAATCTCAGTTCGATAGTACAAACGGTTGCCAAGATCGGCGATTGTCAGAAATTTGTTAATAACAAATCAGTAATTCATTGAATCGAATTTTCGTTTGCGCCATTCGACGAAGGAATGTACAGAGTATGGTCGGTAAAAATTTCATAATTTTTTATGAAAATTAGCTTGATAAACGAGAGGTTTGAATATGCATCTAACATTGAATTCAGTTCCGCATTGTTTATGTATTGAAGAAAAATAGTAAAAATAACTTGAAAAAAAATCGAGTCGCATTGTGTTGATAATTTTATCTATTTTATGGGAAAATTTTTAGAATTTCGATATCTACAATAGTATGAAAGATAATTAATTTTTATTAATCACGAAAAGGGTCTATACATATAACATATAGACACCGTACTTGAGGGGTTAATAGTATATTACGATACAAAAAAGTGAAAAAGGTAGTTGACGTGTGTGAGGGTTACAGGCCGAACCAAAGGCGAGGTCTGCAATGACAATCGTCAGAAAATATATATTTATATATGTATCGTACGATATTTCATGACACTAGGAAGAAAAAGGCGGTTTTTTGCGCGAGAAGTGTACTAAAACTGTCACTTTTTAAATTTGTACCATAAAAATGATTTTGATTGTAACGATGAATTCAACCGAAATTAATTTTACCCCAGCGACAATGGCATTAGTAAACTTTGTGAATCAGTCGGTTAATTATCGCCAGGAGCCAAAAGCCGAAGGAGAACCTTTGACTCAGAAATTCACCATCTCTCATTCCCCACAATTTCTTTCAAGAGCGCTATATGAAAAAAAAAATCAATTCTACTGTTAAATGTTTCATGGGTGTCGTGAAACCCTGATAGTGTGAGTTGAAGCCTCATGTGCGTTTTCAATTACTGATATTCATCGTTTTCTAATTTTGATTTGCTTTTGAGAGTAGTCCCTCTTTACCTTGCTACATAGTGTCATTGAGCTAATCTGTTCGTCCTGAAAATGAATTGGGATGATTTTATTGGGGAAAGTTATCTCGGAGATATTTTACTTACGGATGGACTCTTGGGGAGACCCACTGGCTGACCGAATGGACGTAGAAGATTCACCAGACACTCCCTCACTCGTCCCTGTTGGAGAAATCATGATAAATATTATCGAATAACGTTACGTAAAAATTTCTGCGAAGTGACGAACCACTTGGTGTTACAAGTCAAATTTACACTGGGAAATCACGGGTGATCAATCTTTATTGTATGCCCTACAGGGAATTCTATTGGATGATCCCATGGGAAATTCTGACGTTTGTTGTCGCAAAGGTAGGAGAACCCTCCATAGAAAAATATTCTACGAAAGTTCAGATGCTTCGTAAGGAAAACTTGAAATAATTTTTTATTCGTAAATTTTTTTCTCCAGCAAATCCACATTTATATGAATATAGTATAATATAAATTATTAAATTTTTACGAATGTAATATAAATAATTTATATGAATATAATTTCATTCAACTTAATAACTCATTTTTTAAAGAGAATTCCATTACAAGAATGAATTACGATAAAGTGAATATCTACATCAAATTCTTTAACCCATAATGAAGGGGTGACTGGATTGTGATGGAATGTCTTAAATATGAAATTATTCCAATATCAAGGAAGCTTATCAAGAACTGCAAGCACTCAAATATTTTCCATTTCGTTCAAACGGTGGACGGAGTGTTTTCATCGTATTAATAAAAAATTTTAATCCACCATCCCAAGTCACTCTTCAGAAGTAAAAGAGATAAAATGCACCACCACATGTAGGCGATAGTATGAGTGGATGTGGGGTTCAATGGTTTGCATATCTCCCTCATTTGCCTGAGTACCCCAGATTTTTCCTTGACTATGGGATTCTGTATATTTTTTCACATTGCCCTCTATTTTTATTTGAATTTTTAGAATCTTCTAGTAGTTCAATTTCAGTTCGAGAATAAATCCACTGAGAGCCCGTATATCAGAAAGAATTTGTTTATTCCATTTTATCTAACCTGCTACAACTAATTTTTCTTAATCATCAGAAAAGTTAATTATAAGTTCCCCGACAAGTCAAAAAAATTAGATTTTCGAAGTAAACATCCGTAATGAAATAACTAGTTTCTGGGATCAACACACAACTATCGGATGTGTTCAATTTGACTCTCACGTTTTACGACTTGAGGTACTTCATCAGTGACTTATAGATGCTCAAAATATCGCAGTTTTCTAAAGTTTCAAAATTTATATAAGATGTTGCTGCGGGTGTTTTGTGTGAAAAAGTTAAATAGTGACATTCATCTGGAATTCATATAGAATGTTTATAATCACAATCGAATTATCTACGAATTTTCCTAGAATTTTTTCAGATTTTCTTTTCAAATTATTAACTATTGAAGTTGCTTCTCATACATAGGTTCTTTTGGAGATTTTTCTGTTTACCACGAAACTGCATTACCATCTGAGTCCATAATATAATTTCATGCTAAACAGAAAAATCCCCATAAGAGCCCGTATATAAGCAGCGAATTTAGTCGTTAATTGCTTGAAAAGGAAATCTGAAAAAATTCTAGGAAAATTCATAGCTAATTTAATTGTGATTATAAACGTTCTACATGAAATCCAGATGAATTTCATTATTTACCTTTTTCGCACGAAACACCTTAAAGTATTTAGTCCACACCATTTTTGAGATATGCATCATAAAACTTGGAGTTTTCATGCTTTTCCAATTTTTTACGACGCATATCTCCAACATGGCATAGACAAAATGATTTGAATTTTGGTAGGAAAGAGCAGAGTAAAACAGAACACCGAGGTAAAATGGACAACGAACAAAAATTAGTAACTGAAGTATAAGAAATGCGATAGAATGAGTGCCCCAAGAAATATATTCAAAACTGATGAATGGCCTTACATGGACAGAAGAAACAGAAGGGGTTCGAATAGAGTGCGATAGTTCAGTATTAGGATTATCAAAAATTATATCTAACAGCTATTTTTCGCGCACAGTCGTACGAGGCGATTTCCAATGCTCGTCTCCCCGAGTGCCTTTACCCTAAACAAAATCATTAACTAGTGACGATGGCCATTTGACCCCGCTCTCCCCTAACTGTGTTCCAACGTATTCAACATATGATCCACTTTGCTTAGGATGAAAATTGAGGCACTTGGACGATTTTAAAGGTAAAAATGAAGAACGCTGTTTTTCATTGATGTTCGTTATTTTTGCAAATTTTTACCATATCCTATCATATATCAAAATTCGCTCAATAAGTTCGTAGCCTTAAGGGGAGACGGAACCCCTTTGTCTACATCAAATCTTAGAATTGTGTTTTCTCCTACAATTATTAATTTCTATCTATGAAATTACTTTATCGACTCGATTATCGCATTGTTGAGTCAATGAAGTAGTTTAATGAATAAAAAATAATAATTGCAGGAGAAAACACAATTCTAAAGATTCATAAACGCAGGGGTTCCGTTTCCCCTTAACGAGGACTTTTAAATTTCATCGCGGTCTCCCCTTGAGGGGTAAGTGAATGCCGCTGATTTTCAAAATTTTTGAAAAAATTTCTTTCCGAAACTAGTATGAAAAAATTCAATAGAAAACCTAGCGAATTCGCTAGAAAATTGTATTGGAATTCTATTGAAAAAATCCATTTTTTTTAGGCTGATTCTATTGAATATTCCATAAGAAAAAGTCAACAGATTTCGAATTTCTGTTTGAATTTTTCTTTTGAGATTTTTTCTAAAAGAATGCTTGGGCATCAATTTTTTTCCTCTCGGATTCTGTAACGTAATTTCAATTTCAATTTAATTATGAAATGATGATTAAAAAAAAACAAAATCCAGAGGAAAAAATTTAGAAAATTTGTGCCAAATAATTTTAATAGAAAAAATCTCAAGTGAAAAACTCGAACAAAAATTCAAACTATATTCACTTTTTCCTATCAAATATACAATAAAATCGGCGTAAAAAACAAGTAGAGTTTTTCAATATAATTCCAGTAGAAATCCTATAGAAACTCCATAGGATTCCTATATAATTCTAATAGAATTTTTTAGCGAATTCGCTAGACTTCCTATTAAATCTTTTCATGCGTGAAGCTATCGATATTTTTACAGCTCGAGTCACATTAATCTCCAGGAGGTAAATAATGAACATCAATGTGCTTTGGGTTTGAAAAATATTAATAACTTTGAGGAAATTTATTTGAAAATTTCGAGAAAACGGTGGCCTTCTGTTACCCCTGAAAGCGGTATATATTGGCCCATTGAATTTATTCATTTCTCAAGCTCACCTGAGACATCCAGGGTCTCTTCCATCCCGAAATTGCATTACTATCTGCTGGCGAGAGCGATAATGAACGTCTCGGTGAGCCTGATGTCTTCTCATCCTCAATCTGTCTTCTCAACCATCTCTTCCCAATGAGCGGTGTTTTCGTCACGTCATAAGTGAAGTCCATTGTCCTTCCTACATTACATCATCATTGAATCATGAAAACAAGAATACATCGTATCTCATGATCGTCGTTCATGAGGGTGAGAGGTATTAAAAAAACTATTCAAGTGCGCAAAACTAAAAAAAAATATCGTCTTTATTATCAGGATGAAATCATCTACAGCCATAAACAGTTGTTATTATTTTTATCGCAACCTGAGGGGTGTGGAGTATGCGTGCAGTCCGAAAAAAGTCCATGCAATTGTTATAAAGAAGGAAGAGAAATTAAAATAATTAGAACCAGAGAGAAGTAGTTTTTTTATTACATCTAGAATTCTCACCAGGGAGTTCTTTCTTCGTAAATATCTCCGTGTCAGTGAAGCTGGGATGGGGAGAGGTCATGGAAGGCTCCCAAGATGGTGCATGGACCGACGTTGGGGGAGCTACGAGAGTGGATGACCTAGTCACGACTAGCTTGAGAATCTTCAACGCCTCCTTCCAGTATGGGCCCTAAAAGTCATTTCATCATTAAAAAATTTCAAGCATTTTTCCGAAGGGCTAATAACTCGAAATCGAAATCGAGTGCAAAATGGATTGTACCAGATGACATGAGTGATATCAATTCAGTAACAAAGTGGTAAAACGGTTTGAGTGTTTGAGGAATATTTCCTATTCTGAGGGAGATAGCGAAATTTTCGTAATTACATTTGTTGTAGCTCTCAATCGGCACTAGAAAGAAGGTTATATCAAAAATTTTGCTGTCTCCCTTAGATTCCGAGATATTCATTGAAAACTGGTCAATAATCAAAATTGACTTGTACTGTTTTACCACTTCGCTACTGAATTACTGCACTGAATTCATGACTTTATTGATGTCAAGCATGATTTTCATTGATAAATTGTATTTCACATTTCTCATTTCCTAAATTTTTCGTGTCTCTAGAGTAGAGTAAGTTTATGAAATTCAAAATTTATTTATTCATAATCTATTGCGAATAACGTAAAATGAATGCTTAACTTTATTCTGTGGAGTATAACGAACGTTTAAAAAAAAAACAAAAATCGTATGAAAACTACGGCACAAGGAGCATTTGGAGGTAAAAACAGAAAAAAATGAAGCTTCTCATGGTTATACGGAGAAAAATCGAAATTGAACTCTAAAGTGTGTTGTAGAACGAATTGAATTGTAATTATGATAAAAATCTTATTCAGTGGACATAGGAATTAGAACATGATCAAATCATTTATTATAATCCGAAAATTCATCAATTTATATGATTCTCATCGGTCCTATTGCTTTTTGGAATAGGAATCATTATAAATAATCAATTGAAAAAAGGAATATCGAATATGACAGAAAAAAAGCCATCAACACACCGGCCAGGGTGACACTAGTCCTTCCAGAATATAAATAAAATATGATTGATAAGTTCAAAAAATCGTGACGTAATATTTGAATGTCTTCTAATCGTTTTCGTTAAACATACACCATCCTCCTGGTATATTTACTAAAAGTAGACCAAAGCTATCTCATGATTTCTTCAATCTCATTAACAATAGAAACTCATTTAATGGATCACAAATGATTTCATTGTAGCTCCAAGAAATAACTCTCCGATTTGAAACAACGAGATTTCAATAACTGCCTTATTTCAACGGTTTCAGTGATTTCATGAGTAACTTCGAATCGATCTCATCGGCAAGTGACGTAATAATCTCAGGAGTAACTATCCCCTCGCACATTTCTCTATCCCCCATTAAAACAAATGCTTCGAGACATTAAAACACCCACCTCAACGTATTTCGAAATGACTCTTAAACACCAAACACCAACCTGGTATCTTTACTAAAAGTAAACCAAATCTATCTCATGATTTCTTCAATCTCATTAACAATAGAAACTCATTTAATGGACCACAAATGATTTCATTGTAGCTCCAAAAAATGACTCTCCGATTTGAAATAACGAGATTTCAGTAACTCCTTTATTTCAACGGTTTCAGTGATTTTATGAGTAACTTCGAATCGATCTCATCGGCAAGTGACACAATAATCTTAGGAGTAAATATCCCCTCGCACCTTTCTCTACCCCCCATTAAGGCCCGGGTGTACTATCTTTCGAATGTTATCTGGATTTTGTTTATCTTTCGTAATCCAAAATTATCAATTGAGTGGTACATCATGCAGAAATTCCCAAAAATTATGATAGAATGATGAAAAAAAATAGAAAAAATTCAGAACTTTTTCAAAGAGTGTTTTTAATTGAGATTCAAAAGGAGTTGAAAAAAGTGGAAATTATAAACATCTGATTTGCTGTGGCAAAGTATCTATTAGCTGTCATTTTTTGAAGTGACAGCTAGGTATCTCCATTTTCAAAACAGTGGTATGTAGCCATCTGCCGTTTTTATGTGATAAAAGTGTGATTAAAAAATTCTCCAAAATATTACAACTTTTTTCAAAGAGCCTTTTCCGTAATAAATGTCTCTGTGCAGTGTGGGAAAAGATTTACGAAATCAGTCTTCCCCCTGCATGATATTGGGTGACAGGCCGCCATTTGTCACCGTAAATCAGATACATTTTTCAATTTCTTGTTATTCAACTTATTCTGAATATAAATTAAAAATGCTGTTTGAAAAAATTCGGAATTTTTTCTACTTTTTTTTGATTATTCATTCATAATTTTTCAAAACTTCTGCATGATGCAGGACTTAATTGACAATTTCAGATGACGAAAGATGAAAAAAAAACATCGAAATAACGTTCGAAAGATGGTACACCCGGGCCTTAACACAAATGCTTCGAGATATTAAAACACCCACCTCAACGTATTTCGAAATGACTCTCAACAGTTCCGTATTAATAGGCTGGGCAGCTCTCGTCGCAAGATCCACATAATGCAGGAGACAATGAATAATACTGAGGACAGGTAGGGCGATGCTGGAAGGGCCCTTCTCGAGCACCTCCACCAGGAACGCCAGCATGTTGAAGCTCAAATGAGCGTAAGTGTCATAAAGATACTTGACGACGCACTTCGTCCACTGGAAACTCTCCTTACTAAATGTCCTCCTACTGTACAACGTCATCACAGTCCCCAGATGATCCAACTTTTTTCCCTTCTCCGCAGACACCTGCGCAATATTCTCAGCACTTCTGATACAAAGCTCATTAGCATCCTCATAATTCAATAACATGTACGGTAACAAAGAGATCACATTCATTGGGAATGCGAGGCTCTGTGTGGGGTCAACGAAGGGGAGATCCAGCAGTGGAGTAAATTGGGACAATAGAGTTACAACCGGTTCATAAGTGTTTGGGCTGGTGCAGCCTTTCAGTAATAGTGCATGGACCCCAGGGAACGAGTTCCATCCCAACTGCTGTTGCAATTTCTCCACTTTATCCCTAGCGTCCGGACGATCCAGTGGCAATCGATGGAGCACTCGACCGAGCAGTCTCAATGCCAATAGAAATTCATGCTCGTAGTCGGACTCCAGTAGAGACACCGACAGCCAAAATAATTGAGCCAAAATAGTCATTTTGTCGTCTTGAGTTGCCGAGTCCCCCAGCAACTTCAGGGACTGTGCAGACCGAGATCTTGAGAGGTTTGAGATGGGATACTTATTGCAGACTCTTGAATCCTCTTTTGGATCAGGATTGGTTGATCCTGCACACTTTCTCATGCAGTAGCTCACTGAGTAGCTGGTGCTCCTGGCGTGTCCAGCCTGATTGAGGTGATTGAACATGTGCGGACCAGCTGGATAACCCATTCCCATGTTCCTCTTCCCCAGGACAATCCCCGAGGCTGGATCCTTGTTATTCAAATTCGGCGTTGACTTGAATATTTCCTTCATGAAATCCAGAGGCCGGAAGTCTGACTCCAGGGAGTCCACTGCTGCTTCCAGGGTTAAAAGAAGTTCAGTCACGTAACCCTGCATGTCCTCCCCCTGTTCAGCAACTGTTTCCACTAATCTTGAGAGAATGTCAGACAGCATTCTCGATGTGATTGGAACTCTGAGGGCTCTGAAAACTTGGAGAGATCTCCCAGCATAATGTCTTGACGAACAAGACAACCCCAGTTGTAACGCAGTCTCTGCCCATCGTTGACTAACATGGGCATGAGGCAGTGAGTCTCTGAAGACCCTTAAAACGTGTCTCAATAATACAGTCAACTGCTCAGCACTCCGCACCCACCAGGTCTTGGCAGTCATGTCCTCGTAGTTCCACAGTGGTTGAACAGTTCTCGATGCCAAAAAGTTGATCAACGATTTAATCACGTCCTGAATAGCCATATTGGGCCCAGGCTGTGGTCCATTCCAGACAGCAGTGTCTTCAGGTGTGACGATAACAGGTGGCCCTGCAGGGGTCTGCCAGGGTCTCAGGGTGCTATCAAACTGCTGTTTATTCTCTGTTGTCGCAACATTCGGTGGAGTGAGGCTATTGGAAGGAATAGGAGAGTGAGAGGGTGAGGATTCTGACGAAGTTTGCACAGGCGATGGATTCTTCACACTGCAACACTCCTCAGACGGTAATGGAGGAGGCGGTGGTGGTGGCATAGGGGGCGGAGGGGGAGGTGGACAGGGTGGCTCAGGTACACAAAAAACTGGTGGAGGGGAGTTGGTTCTGGGGGGAGTGGCCGTTGCTGGAGGTGGACCGTATAAATAGCTGTCAAACTCAGGATCAACTTCTGTGAAGTTGTGCTCGAGTACATGCAAGTTTGGAGTTGTTAAGCCCAAACCCAATTGCTCAGTTCGCGATGCCAGGAGTACCCTAGCAACACCCAGGTGGTCTCGGTGATCACCAAGGACCACAAGGAGATTCAATAAGAGTAGACGACAGTGATCTCGTACCAAAGGACGCGAGTGGTCGAGTCCAAGGAAGACGATGTGTAGCATCAAAGGCACATGGATGGACCAGTCTATTTGAATTCCATCGACTACGATGTCAGTTAAGAGCATAACTGCAATGTTGCAACGGTGAAAACCACTAATTGGTTGTGATGCATCGGGCAGATATTCTGTCAGGGGTGCAAAGTACCCTCCGTACTCGGGCATTGGTAATGGATGGGGCTGGGGAATATCGAATTTCTCGTTCGGTCCGATTTTTGTGGATACTGTGACGACATTTCGCGAATAAATCTCCTCGGTGAGTTCAACTTCGGTGGTGGGGGTTGAGAGGTCGTCCGGGAGGACTGGGGGACCACTGGTGGTCCTAGCTTTCTCGGGTTTTGTTGTCTGGAAGCCTGCTAGGGCCCTCAGGGCAGTGTCTGACTTGGAGCCAGTCTTCACTGGGTCTTCCCCGGAGTGTCGTTTTGTGTGGATCGTACCCTTCTCGACTGCAAGATCTCGAGAAGGATTTCCTGGATCTGCTGCAGGCGCATCACTGTGGGACGAGGCCTTTCTCATACTTGTGAGACGATAGAATGGGGGAGTTTCGGTCCTTTCAATTAAACAGTTTAATGTCTCCACAGTTTGGAGCTCCGTCATCATTTCATCTACTAGTCTCTCCGGTCTGGAACGAGCCAGAAAGAGAACAACTCGCTTGGCGTAGGGGAGAAGTTCTTGCGGCGCCATCCCTGATACGATTATTAAATAACGGATTATTACTTTGAGATTGTTAGGCCAGCAGCCGCACAAAGTTGCCCACAGCTCCTCTACCTCCTTTGGATGCTCGTCGGAAAACTGGAGGAGAAAATTTGAAGATTATTTGTGTAATACCGCGGAAGGGTTATTGCGTGGCGGTGATCTCTCTAATCTTTACCTTTGCCGTGATATAAAAGAGATTGTTGAGAACCATTTCCGTAGCTTCTGCACTGCCCCAGCCTTCTCGTCTCGCTCCACCACGTGTAACGTCAGAGGTATAATACTGAAACATGAGATAAGAAAAATGTTCAAAAGGAACGATGATAATCTGAAAAATTTATTCGTTGGAATAGAAAAGATGGAGCTCGTTGGAGCAGGTATTTCGCATGAGATCGAGTACTCGATATCCACATGCTCTTTAGAATCCAAAATTTTACATCCCCCCGGGAATTACTACGTGTCTCACAAGGATCCGAGGAAAGAAACATTCGATGGTAATCCAGCCATCTCTGTCCTGGAATATACTTGGCTTTTTTGCCTCTATGAATATTGATTTCGGATAATTTTGGTGTGTGACGGAAAACTGCGATAAGAACTGTAATTATTGTTTTTTGTGGGAAAGTTAAATATCAGCATACTAAGACTGCGTATGTTCACATTTCATTGATGACACTAGAATGATTTCATAATCAATACCTATTGTGTTTTTTCCTTGTCCCTTTCGGATTTTTATGATCCCCCCCCCCCTGAGAATAACCGTTTGTACAGCATTCGGCTTTGATAAAAACTTTAATTCAAGGAAAATCTGATCAGGAAGTCTATTCTCGAGTTGAAATCGTGCGTTGGATTTCGGTAGGTCGCCTGTGACTCTGGACCGGCTTACGGGCCGCATGCGACTTGTCGAAGTCGAACGTACGATTTCAATTCGAGAATTGGCTCCCAGATCCAGTTGGAATGGCCTTCATTTTCCTTTTCGCCAGGTCAGACGGAAATGATCGGTTTGTGACAGTTAAGGTATACGTCGATGAAAGTTAAAAGTCTTCACGGAGCCTCGGGACCCATTGAACAGCTTGTGATATATGAGATTTTGCCCCGTATAACCACGAACAACTTCATTTTTTCCTGTTTTCACCTTCAAAATGCTCCTTGCGCCGTAGTTTTCATATGATTTCAACTTTTTTTAAAATGTTCGTTACACCTCAAAGAATAAAGTTAAGCATCCGTTTTACTTTATTCGCAATAGATCATGAATAAATGAATTTTGAAGTGCATAAATTTTTCGCGTCTCTACAGTAGGACTAAAAATTTATTGTTTTTAGTAATTGTACATTGTAATCATGCGTCATCTGATTTTTATGAAGAAAAAAAAAGGCAGGTTGAAGCAAAAAGGCGGGTTCAAAAGAAAATCGATTACTAAAAACAATGAATTTTTAGTTCTACTCTAGAGACGCGAAAAATTTATGAAATTAAAAATTGATTTATTCTTGATCTATTGCGAATACAGTAAAATGGATGCTTAACTTTATTCGTTGGAGTAAAATCAACATTAAAAAAAAATACGGTAAAAACCGGAAAAATGAAGGTTTTCGTGTAAATTTAAGAAATATATTTAAGGAACTTCCGCAGTAAGTATACTTGGTGAAAATTTCGAAATGGTATAAAGACGCAATATTTGGATCATATGTTGTTGAGCACATTCAAAAACTATTCCCAAAATTTCAAGTACCTTGTCCACCCGATTTTCGAGATATACATCTTCAAAAATGGAAAAAACACAAAAATTGAATGTTTGGCGATGCATATCTCAAAAGTGGGGTGGACCAGGGACTTGAAATTTTGGGAATATCTTTTTAATGGGGTCAACAACATATGATCCAAATATTGCGTCTTTACACCATTTCGAAATTTTCACCAAGTATACTTACTGCGGAAGTACCTTAAAAGAAAGTAAGTTCAAGAAAATTCAAGAATATGTTTATTGGAATTTTCCGGTTTTATATTAACTTTCAGGGAATAATTGAACTAAAATTTACAGGTTTCATTGATTTTTCCCCGAAATCCAGAATTTTCAATGACGAAACTTTTTGAAATTTCAGTAAAACTTGAATGTCCTAAAAATTTCCGAAAAAAGTGTACTTGAAATTTCGCTCAACCTGTAGTCGAAAATTGAAGGGCATCTCGATAGATGGAAATTGACGGCCAAAATTTATTCGGTCATTTCATGCTTATGGCCAATCGTCATTTTTTTTTGACCACACGGAGAGAAATATTCAATAAAAATTACGTATCTTTTCCGTCATTCCGAAGGGAAATGTGGTTGTAGGAGATTTTACAGAACGGTCACGGAATTTTTCTGGAGCGTTTCGTAATGTTTATCTGAATCTCCTGAGAAAAATTACGATACCGTCACTTAAATTTTCTGAGTCGATTTCGTAATCGGTGAGTGAATTGTGGGTTCCGTTTTTACTGAACATTTCTCTCCGTGCATATGGTCAGATTCTCGGTGCGGTAATTACCGCTCATGAAGGTGGTCATTGACGCTTATTTGACCAGTCATTTTTGTCACTCACATCTCTCCTCCCGTATGGACAATGAAAACTGTGAAAATTAAACCATTGCCCATTTTTGATCCTTCTAGCGGGAATCGAGCGTCTGTGCGCCGCATGCGAACCCCTGCGCTCTTACCACCCAGATACTACTTCAATTTCAATACAACAAGAAGATGCAGATTAAGGGGGGTTAAACGGAGAATCTATAAGAATATATCAGTATATGACTTGGTCCTAGTAGTCGAACCTTTTCGAACATTTGATGTACTTCGTGAGTCCTGAGATTTATTTTATATTATTGCGTCATGTATGTACGTCATTGTTACATCAATATCCGACATAACAAAAAAAAAGTTCGTCATTTTATCGAAAAAACTTTTCTAGCTCCTATGATTGCAGCCCCCGCCTTCGGTTCGTGCTGCAAACTCATAATCGCCAGAAAAGTTTGTTTCGGTTTAGTGACAAAAATACTAATTTGGTATCACATTCTGACAGTTCATTCAGAGGAACAAATACGTATAAAGTGAGTTTCTTTCGCCCATCAAAAGTTACGATGTTCTATTTGTACGTTCAGTTACTGGTCCTAAGCGTTCAGCTACAGTACTGAGAGAAAAATCTGAAGTTCAATTTACAATAAGAAAATAGTTGAGGCAGTTTTGGTGAACTTCACAAGTGTAATTTTTGCAAATCAAAATGCAGTTAAACTAACCAAAGTTCAAAAGTAACCACGACAAATCTATCGTGAATAGAACTATAAAATAGTTGCGATGACTACATTCCACTGTAGTAATTACTTCTCTGGCCATAGTTACCGTAACCCATGAAAAATTGTTGAGGACTTTTTGACTATAATTCGATGGTGATAGAATATAGTCAGAAGAATCATATTTTTCTTTCAGTGAGGGAGATTTAGTTTACGACCTTTCCTCTCTTTGCATTTCCAAGTGTATTGAGTAATATTGACATTGCATTTTTACTGCAAATACATCTTTGAACTTTTTTATCAGTTATATGAAACCAGGAATCGGCAAGTAAAACTGATGATGAAATTTAACAACAGACGCCGCCATCGGTAAAAGATATCGCGTGTATACAATTTACGCATACTTTCTTGCAGTTTTATGTAAGAATAGCTGAAGGACATGTACAGATTTTTTTATTTTCTCACAAAATAAGGAAACTTTGACGTAGAGTCAAAGCATTGTCATCGTCTAACTAGGGGAAAGTTGAGTAAAATGCGACAGTGAGTTGAACTTGACAGTGGGGGGACATGGGATTGCGGGAAATAAGGACAGGGAGGAGGAGACTACTATCAATCAATGAGAAGCTGTAGGCGACGCAATTGAATTGTTATCTTGTTAATAATATTCCATAAGTGTAAATCATTGTTCAACCTCCCGACCCGATGGGAGGAATTTATTGTAATGACTTGGAAATCGAAGGAGAAAATTTAATTACTTTTCTACGTTTCATGAGTCCTGAATGGATCCCAATTTGTTTTCAAAAGGTTTCAAAAGGCATAAGGATTGGCATCTTTTAAAAATATTACGGCCAATTTCACTGAAATTTTATAACCAACGTCTTTTATTATTATCTATTTATTGAAAAATCATATTTTCCATGATAACCATTCGTGACAACATATGTGGACGTCCGCATGAAAAGGGACTACTTTGGCACTATTGGAGTTATGTATATGCCAATAATCTTGATCTGATTCTGCAAATTTAGAGCCAAAAATGAACTTGATAGCGTAAACAGTGACGCCGCTATAGACGACCGAAAAAATAATTTAACATGGGGTTAAATGGGAGTTGGCAAGAGAAAAACGTGAATATCTCGGAAAATAGAATCGAGAAAGTGGTCCCTTTTCATGTGGACGTTCACATATATTTACAACACATGTTATGTGGTCTTTTAAGTTATCCTCGTATGAAAATGAACGGTAAAATATAGATGCGTTAATTTCATTTTTTTTTCCAAGAATTGTGGATAAATGTTCCATCTCAAGAACTATTACATATATTTACCTAAAAATTGATTTAGGGGAGGTTGGGGTAAAACGGACACTTTTAACTGTTTTTTAAATGTTAATGAGGGGTTGAAATGTTGATAAAATTTGATAATTTTTTTTTCAATACAAAGAACAATTCTTGCCCTTTGTGACGAGCCGAAACTGAGCTCAATTGATAAATTTGTTTCTGACTTATGAATAATTTTAAAAAAGTCTAAAGTGTCCATTTTACCCCACCCACCCCTATGAGTGCTATCTGAGCATCCTAACTGGCGAAGCTTCAAAAGTTTTCCCTGATCTTTAGTCATGTTATAGTGCGCACACGTGAATTCTGATCAAAAAATAGAATAAACGACGAAAATTTTTAATCGAACGATACACTGAGAGGACAAGAGTTTTTTAAGAAGTTCGTCTTTACTTTTATCAAGAAATTCGTGGCTCAAAAATGACCAAGCGCACAACATCCAACACACTAAGAAAAAAAATCTTACGCCAAGAAATTTTATATTTGTCCGAAAGATAAAGTTTGAGTCAAATCGGATCTTTTAAGAAAGATTAGAAGCATATGAATGTATGTAAATCATATTTGAGTGCAATTTCATCTCAATTGATCGTTTAGCTCTAACGAGAACAAAAATTTACAATAGAGAAAATATCACGGACGTTTATTATGAGTAAATGGAAGTCTTCAATACGTAAGGATCTGAAAATGTAATAATC